ACAGTATTTCAGCACGTGTTGAGGGCATGTGCAGGCTACCTGCAGGTCTGGAGAAGCAAGCGAGCAGTCAATCACTTGAAGAGAAAGGCCCAGCTCTCCCCTAGGATGTGGAGGACAAGTTGCCCCGTGCAGGGAATATTAGTTCACACACATCAGAAGCTCACCTGACCAGCCTATATTGAGCCCTAAGCACCCCTGACCTCCTGCTCCCCCATCACTCACACTCCTGGGGGGGCAGAGGAAGAGCTCCCAGGCACTGGTCTCTTGGTCTCATCAGAGTTGAAGAAACTTATAGTTTACAGCTCACCTTTACCCCCCAAGTTTGCTACCTTGGTAATGTAGGTAGAAAGCGTCTTGATACCCACTGGCCTCATTACAAAGGCTATGAGACAGGAAAGGCAAGTGAATCCTGGAGGTTGTTTTTAAAACCCTGCTCCTATTTGAGGAATAATAGTGGAGCTCCCATGTTTTAGAACCAGACACTATGCTGAAGGCTTTGCGTATATTATCTCACCAGTCCTCCCAATAGCCATCAGTAAGCCCATTCAGATTTAGACAGTTCTAGCTTCAAACAGTGATCATGGGTGTGGTTTGCTGTGCGACTCTCTCAATTCCAGCTTCTAATACCTGGAAAGGGTCGATGGCTTCCATCTGGAGGGCTGGCAGCCCTGTTATCACCCTCAGGTCTCCATCTCAGGTCTCCTCACTTGCTCTGTCTCTCCACTGTTCTCCATCACATAATCCTGTTTATTTCCTGGATAACACAATCTATAATTCTCTTATTTTATTTGTTGATGTTTCTGTCTCAAAACTTCATCTGAGGCAGGAACTAAATCTGTTCTGGTCACACCTGAATCCTCAGTAGATCTAATACTTAGTAGGTGCTCACTGAATAACTGTTAACTGACTGACAATGAACGAACTCCTGTGTAAGCCACAGAGATAAATGCCTCTTGGAACCAGCTACCCACTGGCACCTCTCCTTTGCAAAGCTCAAGTGTGACATTTACTGTCTTAAATTTTCAAATTCACTGGTGCTAAAATTCTAGAACTATAGTTTCACACAATTCAATTATTTGGAAACTCCAATTCTGGGTTGTGAGTCCCCAAGTCCACCCAGCCAGCAGGGTTCTGGCTATTTCTGTCCCTCCAATGCCACCTACTGGTCACAGGTGTATCTGAGCCTCAGAGACAGTGCCTGGCTCCTGTCTCAAACTAGGAATGAGATTGGGGAAGACCCCAGCAGAGCAGGAATTGATAAAATGAATCCATGACCATAGAGGATTCTGACAATTTGGTGGCAAAATCCTGGGTGAGAGAAGAGGGCTGAGGGCCTATCACTGAGAGGAGGAGTGGGAAAGGATCTGGTTGAAGGGGAAGATGAATTCAGGGTGGAACCTGGGGATTCTGAAAGTCTGGGAGGCCATCTAGGTGGAGGCATTCAGGAGGCACCTGATAGATGGGTCTGAAGCCTAGGAGAGGAGTCAGGGATGGGGACAGGGATCTGAGCCCTGTGCACCATCAGGCATCACAAACAGGTTGCCTGTGGGCCAAACTTGGCACCCAGCCAGGTACCATTTGATCTGCACAATGTTTAAAAAAACCAAATTAGTTCTCAGCACTTTGCAAAGTGGGGCATGTCTAGTTTCCCTTGAATAGCCAACTATGCAATACCGGGATGCTCTCCCATGTGACAAAAAACAGCTAGAGATGATTAACCAGGACTTGAACTCTCTGTATATCCCCACTCCCCACCACTCTTTGTTGCCTAATGCATTTACAAATCATTATTGAGTGTCTATTATGCACAGTCAAACTAGACAGGGATGATCACTGCCTTCACAAAGCTTAGATTACATGGTGGAGACAAGACAATAAATGAGTAAATAAAATATGTCATGTAGCAGATGGTAGCAAAAGAAAAAAAAGAAAAGGAAAGGGGGATCGGGTTGCCAGGGCAGAGAGGAGTTCACAGGTTTAAGCAACATGATCACAGAAGGTCTCACTGAAGAGGAGACACTGAGCAAAGACCTGAAGAAGCTGAGTGAGCTGTGTGGGTAGGAGGAGAAGAAGGTTCTGGGCAGAGAAAATAGCGTGTAAAGGCCTGGAAAAGGGTGTGCCTCACATGCTAGAGCAGGAGTGAGGAGGCCAGCATGGGGCGGAAAGTGAGGCAGTGGAGGGAGGTAGGAGGTGACGGTTAAAGGACTTTTCAGACAAATACAGAAAGATGAATAGTTGTAAAAAGCATTCGATTTTTTAACATTAAAAAGAAAATGGTTCTATTCTTCTAAGAATCAAAAGACATGATAAAGACAAATACAGGATATTTGTTTTTATACATAGATTTCTTTAAAGGTAAAACAAAAACCTTGTAGTGGGAATCTGTACTGGAGAAAATGGAAGCTGAAGGAAGCACAAGAGGGCTGTGTAGAGGCTCAAGCACTGGGCCAGATCCCAGAGACCTGTTGTTGAGCCCTAAAATGCCACTGCCCACCCTTGTGACCCAGCAGCCCCATCCCTCTCCCTGGGCCTCAGTTTCTTTGTCTATAAAATGGCAGTCAGCTCCAGGGATCAAAAACTGGCTGTTGCTTTCCTGACTGGTCCCAGACGTGGTCTGTTTGACCTGCATGGTGAGAAATTTCACCTCAAATTTCATCTCAAACCCAGATGTCTGGCCTCTTTTGAGAAACGAGTCCTTTGTCCCTCGTGGTTGCGATGGGCTGGTCGAAGTTATGGCCACTCCCTTTAGAGGGCTCCTGTTAGCATCTGGGGCTCAGCCTGTGTAACTCCAAAGACTGTCTTTAAAAATCCAAGTTTCTATGAAAAGAAAAATTCCAGAGGGTGGGGCTAGGGCTGTCAGATTTAGCAAATGAAATATAGGACGCCCGGTGTGGCAACCCCAGGCTAGACTGGGCATCTGTCTGAACCCAGAGCCAGAATTCCAGGAGGGTCCCCAAGTTTCAGTGCAATTCTTATTTTTACCACCAGGGGGAAGCAGAGCTGTAAAGTTGACCTGAGTCTTCTGCCAGGACGGTGGCTCTGCGGGGTACTAAGGGCCAGGGGCCTAGGTGGGCCTGGAGCAGAAGATAGCCAGGAAGCTGAAAGATGGAAGAGGGAAGAGCTAGGAGCTGCGCCTGACCCAGTGTCCAACAACGAGGGGAGGCCAAAGGCGGGGGGAGGTTATAGTGGGTGTGATCAAAGAAGGCTTCTGGGAAGGGAGACTTGAGCCAGGCCTTAAAAACAGGCAGGATTTGGACAGCAAAGAAGAGGGGCCTTCTAGAAGGGACTGTGGCTTGAGCAATGGCATGGAGGGAGCAATGAGTTTGCACAGGGAGTGGGGCCTGGCTTGAAGTAGTATGACAATGTCAGAAATTCTGAAATACTCCAAGTCATTATTGTGTTCAGTCATGACTCATGGACACAGGTAACAGAAATCGACCTCAAATTAACTTAAAAATAAAATAAAAATTATTCTCTCACAACTGAAGTGTCCAGGAGAAGGAAGCCCTCAGGCATGGCTGCATCCAGGGACTCAAATGATGTAGTTGTGCATCTGCCTCTTTCTATCTCTTGGCTCTGCCTCTTTCTGTGGTGGCTCCATTCTCAGACAAGCTTCCTTCTTTTTGGTAGCAAGATAGCTACTAGCAGCTCCAAGCAGACTCCCTAAAATGTCCTAGCAACCACCAAGCAAGGAGAGAACTTTATTCACAATAATTCCACCAAATGTCCTCAAGATTACTCTGATTGGTCTGGACTGTGTCATATGCCCAGCCAGAAACTAGTTGCTGCAACACTGATTGGCATGGTCTGAGGCATAGTCCACCTCTGGAGTGAGGGGTGGACCTGTCCACCCAGCCCCCCTGGGACAATCCAGGAGGGGGGGTCTCCAAAGGGAAAACAAGGTAGTCTTCTCAGAAGATGGGACATTATGTGCTAGGCAGACAAAAATGGAGAGAGTTCTCTAAACCAGGTTCTCACCTAAGGGATGGTAAATCAGAAACTGTAGGACAGAGAGGATGGGGCATGAGGTTTAATTTTGTTGTCTGCTTATTTTGCTTATTAAATATGAACGTTTGAGTGGCTGTTTTAAAGCTGTGACTGTGGCTCCGTTTGGCCCCCACCAGGTGGTGTGTGCCATACCTAGATAACTGCAGCCTGAACTCATTCCTTTAATAACTAGTTAGTGACATCTGCTGCTTGCCAGGTGCCATGCCAGAAGCTGAGCGTATAGCAATAAACAAAAAGAGATTAAAGTCCTTGCCTTCCTGGAATTTATAATCTGGTGGGAGAGACAGAAAAAAACAAAGAGACAAATAAATACATAATGTGTCTGGTGATAAATGCTATGAAGAAAAATAAAGCAGGGTATAGGAAGGGTTTGTGCACATGTGTGTGCATACATGTGCATGTACAATGTTCCTTACAGTATGATCAGAGGGAGGAACACTTGAGTAGGGACCTGAAGGCAGTAAGGAGTGAGCCAGGTAGAGATCTGGGGATGAACATACCAGGCAGAAAGAACAGCATGTGCAAAGGCCCTGAGGCAGGCATGAGGTTGGCACTTTCGAGAAACAACAGAAGTCTTCATGACTTTCAGTGAAGGAGAAAGTGATAAGAGGGGAGGTCAGAGGAGTAGAGGAGGCAGGTGGTGTAGGGTCTTGTGCACCACTCTCATGACTTCAGTTTTTATACTCCTTAAAAGAAGGAGCTATCAGAGGGTTCTGAGAAGTGGAGGGACTTTCTGGGTAGGAGATAGATCACAGGGGGCAAGGATGGAAGCAGGGGGACCACTGAGGAGGCCATTGCAGTTGACCAGGTTAGAGACAGTGGTGTCTGGACCAGGGTGATGGAGAAAAGGCTGGCTCTGACTATATTTGGAAGGACAGCCGGTAGTATTTGCAGATGGATTGACATGGGGTGTGAGAGAAAGAGAGGAAGAGAAAACATTGACCCCAAAGGTTTTTGCCTGAGCAACTGGGAGGACAGGGTTGTCTTTTCAGAAACAAAGCCTGCAGAGAAGCAACCTACAGAAGTCTAAGAACCTGCCATTTGCAGGGGTTATGCCTGTAACTAAACCAACCTCTTCCTGGAACTTGGCGAGAGAGACAGGCAATACCCACTGAACAGGTACGTGAATGAGAAGATTCTTGCTGGTAGGAAGGGCCATGCAGAAGGTTGGAACAGGGTGATGGGGGTCTGCCTGGTACTCCCGAGCAACCAGAAACCACTGGAGGGTTTTCAGCAGAGTGACAGCTCTGCTTTCCCTTTAGAAGGCCACTCTGGCCGCTGCAGAGAGCACAGCCTACCAGGGCAGAGGAGACAGGAGGCTGGCCAGGAGCTGGGGAGGGCCTTGGGGTGGGAGACGGTGGTGCTCACTGGGAAAAGCTCTGACAGGGCACGGGGGCAGGAATCCAGTCTTTACTGTGTGCAGGAGAGGCTTTTGGAGTGCTAGGGCATCACAAGGGCAGGCCGGCCCACACCCAGGGACTGTCAGCCGCCAGCCACTGCCACTTCACCCAACTCGCTTCCCCATCAATCCCTGCACCTCCCCTTCATTTCCCTACTAACAGCTCCATCTCCTGGTTTTTTCATTTCCTCAGGAGCCACCCAACTCTTTCTCATATCCTGTTGGTCCCAGCCCCTCGCCTACCTCGCCCACCCCTCTGCTTATGACTTTGCAAAGCTTCTCCTGGGGTAGCAGGGAGGGGCTGCCACCCTCACCACACACACACACACAAACACACCTTTTTTTTTTTTTTACTTTACTTTTCCATCTTCATAAAACCTTCTGGTCATCTCAATCCTTCTCCCTAAATCTTAGCGTCAAATCACACCCAGTGTGTGCACAACCATTTACAGTGGGCATCACCCACCCTCCCATTTCACAGCCCAGGAAAGCAGCCCTTCGAGGAAAGGCCCACCAGGGCAGAAGCCTGACTTCATCACTCCCTCACTCTGCGGCTCTGGGCAAGGCCTGGCACCGTTCAGTGCCTCGGTTACCCCAGCTTTGAAATGGGCATTGCAGTCACTGTGGCATAAGTGAGGGGCCCAGCAGAGTTCTTGGCACACAGAGTTGCTCAGCACGTGAGAATTCCCTTCCTAAAGTGAGCAGTCTAGGCAGGAATCATGAGCTCTTGACCCTTTGTGAACCCTCCCAGGGACTTGTTTATTTGGAGGACACTGTGGCTTCTCTATGGGGAATTTGAATGTTTTTAGAAGGGGGCACACATCCCTAGGGGGGCCAGAGAGCCTCACACTAAAACAAACAAACAACAAAAAAAATCCACATAGCTTTCTACATTTGTGTTTACAGCTTACCTCTAAAGGCATGGTGGCAGATTGTATTATATTTTCCAACATGGACACGACATCTCCCATTCCGTGTGCTCTTTACACAGTTTCCCCCTGGGTCTCTCAGGACATTCATCCCTGAAAGTCAGACTCCATGCTATGAGGAAGCCCAAGCCGCACAGAGTCCTCCCAAGGGGAACTTGGGTCCCTTTCCAGAGGCAAAGAGGTGCCAGGCATGGGCGCCTCTCCAGACTGGGGTCAGAGGGGAATGACGTAGCCACCAGCCATCTCCTCCTGCTCATTTCAGAGGCGGAGCCCTGTGGGTCTTGAAAGCTTGGCTTTAGAGCTGGATTGCCTGGGTTTAAATTCCAACTCTGCCACTGGCCGTCTGGGTGACCTTGAGCCATGTCGGATTCCTGGAAGCAGAGTCTCAGTCAAGGATTCTTCTGCACATGATTTGTTGAGGATGAGGATTCAGGAGGATATATAAGGGGTTGAGGGACCCAGGATAGGACAGGGGAAGAAGTCAGGCAAAGCTGTAGGTTTGATAGCAGTTTAACTTTAGCCTGATGGGGGAGGATGCTCTGAAGCAGGAATAACACCATGGAATTGTCCCAGCTTGTGGCAAAGGGTCCCAGGAGCTCTGTATTAATTTCTTAGGGCAGCTATAACAAAGTACCATGAACAGGGTGGCTTAAGCAACAGAAGTTTATTGTCTTGCAGCTCTGGAGGCCAGAAGTGTGAGAGCAAGATGTAGGCAGAGCCACACTCCTCTGAAATTTGAAGGGGGTGGGGGGCTTCTGTGCCTCTCCAGCTTCTGGTGGTGTGACCAGCAATCCTTGGCCTCTCTTAGCTTGTAGAAGAAATCACACCAATGTCTGCTTCCATTATCACAAGGTCATCTCCCTCTCCGTCTCAGTCTCTGTGTCTCTCCTCACCTTCTTTTAAGGACAGGAAGGGTGTACCCTATTCCAGGACAACCTCACCTGAGCTAATCTGCAAAGACCCTATTTCCAAATCAGGTCACACTCTGATATTCTGGGGCTTAGGACTTCAACACATCTTTCTGGGGAAGACACAGTTCAAGCCGTAACAGGATCCTAGGCTTCAGACAATCATTGCCCCGGCATTGGGGGGTCCCCTGTGGGCTCAGCTCTCGGGAAGGTGGATCCCATTGGCCCAGGATACTTGTCAGGAGAAAGGGGCAGCTGTGTTCTTTAGCAGCCAACCCTCACGCAGCTGGGGGATGAGCCTGTCAGCCCGGGAAGGGGACCTAGGGTGGGCACCACAGCTCCAGACAGGAAGGTTGTCCAGCCTCTATGCCTCAGCATCCTCATTTGGAAAATAGGAATTATAGCGTGCCTACATTATGGAGAGGTGACCATTAAAGTAACTCATATTCTTAGAACAGTGCCTGATGCAAGGTAAGTGCTTTGGAAATGTTCGCTGAGCTTATTAGTTAACCGCTTGGGCCTTGGTAGGTGTGACAGACCCTCTGAGAAGTAGCAGGGTTTATTGTCAGCTTGCGGTTGGCCCTTATTCATTCTTCCCAGCTGGTTCCCACACACCCAGAGGAGTTAATTCACCTCAAACAAAAATGCAGAATGAGCCCAACAAGGTCACTCAATCCAGTCCTCTGTGACCCTTTCATGGATGAAGAAACTGAGACCCAGCCAGAAATTTACCCAAGTAATAAATGGGAGGCAATATGGTGGTGATAAAGAGAAAAATTTTGGAATGGGGCAGACTTGGGCTTGAGTCCCAGGTGAGCACCCTTGGGGCAGTACCCCTGCCTCTCTGGGCCTCAGTTTCTTTGTCTATAAATGGGTCATCATTATTCTTGTGGTTGTAGATTAAACAACACACTCTAGACTCTTATTAACTGTCAGCTGCTTCTCACATTCATCACAACATCACCACAGTAATTCCACGACATCATCGTGAAGTGTGGGCACATGTGCGGGCATTCTGGAGGGAGGTTGACTGCTCAGTCCTGGACCCCCAGACAACCCGGCCTGGGAGGTTTCAGCCCAGCACCCTCTGGCTCTGGCCCTGCATGCTGTGTCCCACCCAGCAGAGGCCCTGCCTGGTCTGCGTTGTGGTCCCACCAGGAAATCGATCCCAGACGGGCACAGTCCAGCTGCTAATTACCAGGATGTTATTGCTGCCGTCAAGGCCTCGTTCGTCAGAGCTGCATGGTCACGGCCGTGCCTGGCTGAGAGGTACATTCATTACAGAGACAGCTCCTATTGGGACTTCCAGAGTGGCTGGGATGAGGAGCAAAGCCAGCAGGCACGCTTCATCCCTGGAGTGCAGCAGGCTTCGAGTCCAGGCTGCTGCTGCTAACCAACATCCCCTCAAGGGAAACTGCCTGCCACCCTTTGCCCCAGGAACTTCACAAATGCCCACTGGCAGCAATGCAGTGAGGCTGGTATTATAGTTCTCATCCTCATCCCCATTTTACATCCCCAACCAAGGCCCAGGGAAGGGAAATGATTTGTCTAAGTTCACTCAGATGATAAGTGGGCCGGCGGCTCCAGGACCTGGGTGTTTAGCCCCTGCTGTGTTTGGTCTCTTAGTGATAAGGATGTTGCTAAGTATGATTCTGATAGTAACAACAGCAGTTTCCATGTATTGCGAGTTAGCAGGAGGTAGGTGTGCGTGCTAAGCAACTTTACATACCTACTTTATTTCACTCCAATACTCAGAGGTAGGGGTGATTTTATTAATGGGCCAGCTGGGCTGTGGTGGGGAGTGGTGGGGTGGGGCAAAGTCACACTCCCAAGGCCACAAAGCTGATCAAGGAACAGCTATTTTGGTTTTATAACCAGGGCCGGGCTCCAAGCCTTGACTTTTAACCCCCCGCCGCAGATCCCCTGCTGCTTTCACTCCCTTGCTGTGTGACTTTGGGGAAGTCACTGCCTGTCTCTGGGCCTCAGTGCACTTTTAATCCATCAGTGAGTCTTTTCTGAGCTCCCTCCCACAAGCCTAGACTGGGGTTGGGGCTTGGGACACATTCGAAAGAGGGAAGAACACTACATCTCTGCCCTCAGGGTGTCACAAAGCTGCTTTGAGCCCCAAGGCAGCATTTCTCCAGTATTTCTCCTGATGGGCTAAGACCACCCGCAACACCAAGGCTGCAGAGCTTGTTAGCAAGGCCAGTGCAGCCCCGGATATTCTGATTCAGCCTACCTCCGGTGGGGCCTGTGAACCTGCATTTCTAAGAAGCTCCCAGGGATTTCCGGTAGATCCAGGCCTCATGCATTTAGGTTCTGCACCGTCCAATCTTAATTAGAAAGTCATATGAAGAGAACACACTCTTCATTCAAAGCCTGCAGAAGGTCATTTTAGTCATGTAACAGAGTAATACAAAATAAAACAAGTTCTTTAAATTATAAAAGTAATACACGTTCATATTAAAACATTCAAACAGTACAGGGGGCGAAGAAATGACTTTCCACTTCTCTCCCTCCCTCTTTTCCTCCTGTAACTGCCCTAAGAAATCTCTCTCCAAACACTTATTGGTCACTCATTCAGAGCCAAACACTATGCTGGGCACTGCGGATGGCAGGGGACCAGACAGACACCATCCCTGCCAAATCAGTGACATGACCGTGGCAGTCGTTATTTATTGAGTGTCCAGGCCTGATTCTGATGCTTATAGGGGTGCTATAGGGTAGAGCTATGATTAGTTCCCTTGGATAAATGAGGAGAATTGAGTTTATTGTCCAAATCACGATTTCCCAAAGTTTTTCCAACTTCAGCCTGTGTCGGAAGCACCTGGACCAGCCATACTGACATGCAGGTTCCTGGGTTCCCACCACCAGCTTCCTGGAGCAGGGCTGGGAGCCTGCATTTTTACATACACCCAGGGTACCTCTGAGCCCTGCCATCCTGGAAGTCTGGGAGATAAAGAGACCACGGAGGTGGTAGACATTGAAGAGCAGGAAAAGCAGCCCCCCAGAGGGGAACAAAAGTGGGGGACAAAGGTGCAAAAGTGCGATGGGCTCACATGCTGGGTCTCTCCTGAGCAGGGCGGCTGAGCCCCGCCACCCCCGTCCACACCTGACCCCCCACCCCCCAAGGTTGCTAGCCCCTGAAGGCTCTCCCCCTCCTCCTAAAGATATGCTTTTCCAGGCTGTCCCAGCTGCTTCTGTTATATCTTATTAGTCAAGTGGAACATTAATTAAATGTGAGAATAATAGACCCAGAGATGAAAAAAAAAGTAAAATCCCAAGAAGAAAAAAGTCCTTTCACGGAGCTCTGCGGTCGCTGGAGCCCTGTATTGTGTGGCAGTGAGGAAGGCCGTTACCCTGGTGTTCACATTCTGCCCAGTGACTCGAGGCAGCATGACTTGGGATGCATGTTTGTGTCAGGAGACGTAGAGATGGTGAGCTCAGGAAGCTGGGAGGACCCAGGGTCACCTGGGCCATCACAGGGCTCTGTGAGACAGGGGCGCGAGGAGGGTCTCCATACTGGGACAAACCAGACTCTGTGGGGAGAAAAAGTCCAGACTGCCTCTCTCCACCTCTTCCTCATCCTCCTGCTGGCTGTGCCCTGGCAAACTCCTATTCATTCATAAAGGCCCAGCCCAAAAGTCCCCACTTCTGGGAAGCAGTTAATCCCTAGGCTATAGCAGCACTATGAGTTACTTTTTGTCACAGTTCTGTCTCCTGTTCCCATGTCTGTCACCCCTCCACCCACAACCGGACTACCACAGACTAGAGTGGTTTATCCTACCTTGGGGTCCTCCATACAAGGTCTGGCTCTGAGCAGGTGTTGATGAACTTTTGTGGGAAGAACTAAAGAGTTTTGCCAAGATAAACCTTGGCACTGGTCAGCTCTGGTTTCAAACTCCTCGTTTCAAATTAAGTCTTGCCCCGACATCCATCTGGTACAAAACAAATAGACCAAAGTTGTTCAAACTACTTTGACATTCAAGGTCACTTTCTGTCACCTCACCCTAACCTATCTCCTCAGCAGAGCTTCTCAAGTACGTTCCTGGGCTGCCTGCCTCACTCCCCTGGGGTCCCACTTGGACTGAGTCAGAAACTCAGGGGGTCTGAGGGGCCCCCGTCTGAGGGCATCCATCCAGCCCAGACAGTGGGACTCTGCCGGAAACCTGAATAGGCACGCCTCTCACCAACCACCGGGCCTACAGTTTTCGCCTTTGCCAAGCAGTAAAGTTATCTAAATTAAACACAATGCTCCTAATGAAATAACAAGAGTTATTACACTCCGCCACCTCTGGCAAAGCCTCTAATTAACTCAGCCATCCTGAGAAGGCATTGAGAACATCCTGTGTGGTCCACCCACCCGCCGCCCCTTCCAGAAGAGAAGGGGCTTCAAAGCTGGAAGGTAACTTGATAGAGAACCCAACGGCTTTATTTCACCAAGGTCCTAGAGCAGGGCACGCCTTCTCTGAGAAGGTTGAACTGGTGGGGGGTGGTTGGAGTGGACTGGTGCACAGCCCCTCTCCAGTCCGCCTGCCTTCCCGGCTTTGTCCTCACTCACCCTGTGATGGCTTGGCAAGTGGCAACTTCCCAGCCAGCTCCAATCTGCAGGCTTGGGCCCCTCCCCGGCCAAATTTCCTGATTGCCTGCATGCTCTGCATACCTTCACACCCCATACATTTTGCATTCAGTCCTCTGCCCCTGGACTGACCAACTCTCTTTCTTCAGCTGATAAAATCCAATCTGCATCTCCTCCTCTCTAATACCCTAATATTCCCATACCTCTGGCAGAAGGAGCTTCTCCCCGCTGTGCTCACACAGTGACTTACAATTATCATGTGAACAGCAACTGACATTTACAAAGCTACTCTGCTCCAGGTCCTCTGTTTTCTGTCTGGACCCTCACTGTTGTAGGCGCCAAGTGCCTCTCCATCCAGCCTGGTGAGGGAGTGGAAGAAATGGGTGCCTTCTGAGGTGACCCTCTGAGTCTGCATATTCCAAGAGACGTGGACGTGGCCCAAGAGGCCCAGGCACTTGCAGTGAGGCCCCGGTGGTCACCAACAGTGTGGACCAGGGACTGTGGAGCAGACAGCATCAAGGCCAGTGCAGGGAGAGATGGTGAGGTGGATTGTATTCACAAGATAGCTACAAGCTCTCCCTGCCCACAGGCTCTTATTGCAAGATGTTGACACCCTTGCACCCAGAGGTGAGATGTAGGTTGCCTCCAGGTGCATATGGCATGTGATGATAGCACCAGGACACTCTGGGATTTCCAAGGCTGTCATAGAAGGTGACACAACTTTGGCCTGGTTCTCTTGGGTGGCCAGCTCTTGGAACTCAGCCACCATACCTTGAGGTGACTCCAGGCCACTTGGAGTTCCAGTTCGCAGCCCCAGCTAAGGTCCCAAACCAACAGCCAACATCAATTTCTGACTGAGGGAGCCCTCAAAACACTTCCAGCCTCAGCCAGTGTCTGAGTGCAACAGCACAGGAGTCCCTGAGCAAGAGTCACCTGGCTGAGCCCAGTCAACCAGGCCTGTCCAAGAGAATAACACATTGTTATTATTTTAAGCCACCAAATTTTGGGCTGATTCCTTATGCAACAATAGAAAACCAACACAAATGGGTACTCCTGGGATAGAGTAGTAGGGGCAGGGAGATTCTGAAATGGCCAAGATTAAGTTTCCACTTCCTGGTAGAAAGGGAGCTTGAGATAGAAACAAAGTTCTGATTTAGAAAGTCACAGTTTTTGTACATTTGAGTGTTAGCCTAGAAGTCATACCCTTTTGCCAGCTGTGTGGGTTTGGGCAGGTTTCTTTCCCTCTCTGAGCTTCAGTTTCAATAGGATTAAGAACCTCCTTGTGAGATGGTTGTAAGAATTAAAGGTGATCACAAATGTGAAGTGCTTAGAAGTCATCTGGCACTCCCAGGCCTCTTTTACGAGTGAGCACAGCTGGTGGAGGCTGGGCCTCCCTTGCACTTCTTCATCTCCACTCCAGGGGCCTGCTGACACCTAGACACTTGCATGCAGCTGCTGGGGATACACGTGCTCCTCCCCAAACCTCCTTTGCGGTTGGAGTGAGCTGGGAGCCAGGCGATCGATGGCCAGCCCTGCCTGGATGAGCTCTCTGCTCATTGTAAGTGCCTGCCACCCCCACCTCCCTCCACTCTAAGGACCACTCACCTACTTCAGGGCAGGTGTGAAACAGCCAGAGGTCTGCTTCTCATCCCATCCGCCACCCTATCTTCTCAGAACCGGAGACCTGACTGCTCAGACTGTCCCCTTTGACAGTCAGGGTCTGGATGGAGTTCTGGGCCTTCCTCTCCAGGGGGGTTTGAGGGTTCTTTCAGGCCTGTCACCTCTTCTACTGGTCATTTAGCCCAAATATGTGCCTTCAGTCCAGATAGCAATGTCCATTTACTGAGCACTGATGACTAGACACCTCACATGTGTATAGCGGTCAGTGCCCAAAAAGCCACATGGTAGGCACTATGATGAGGTCAATTTGATGGAGGAGAAACAGGAGCAAATTAGTCACCTTTCCCAGGGTGCAGCTGGGCCAGAATCAGGCTGGTCTGATTCAGACTCCCAGGGCTCCGTACACTCAGGGCTATCAAAATAGCTTCCAAATTTAAGCACCATCTTGTCCGGTGCTCAATGGAAGAAATGCTGTGATTCTGATGAAGAGACAGGCAAATAGATGTATTCATTCGTTCGTTCGTCCGGCACTTTTGAAGTACCAGGCTTCATTTCGAATGAAGAGATAGAGCAATAGGCAAAAGGAACTCCCTATCCTCACCGAGGTTGCAATCTAAGGGCTCAGGGAGGTGACATCACTTGCCTGAGGTCACTTGCCTGCTGGCAAGTGGCCATATCTGTGGGTCAACCAGAAGGCGAGAGAGGGCAGTCATGGGGAAAAGTCCCATCTGACAATCCAGGTCTGGCCAGCCAAGGCATGGGGAACAGGAGCTACTCTGGGAACAGACTGGCCAGGGTTGCAATCCCACTATGGGCACGTCCTTAAGCTTGAACCCTAGGCAAGTCACTTCACCTCTCTGAGTCTCTGCTTCCTCCTGAGTGGATGGGGATGGTGAGGTCCACAGTGAGATATCTGGGAGGGTGAAATGAGGCCTAGCAAGGGCTAGGGACTGATTCTTCTTCTTCCCCTTCTGCAGACAGTTGCACGCTTCTTCCACTTCCTCTGTGTGGGCCACCTTGGCCTCAATCAACCCTAATGAACTTGGAAGAGACCTGGACATACTGTGGCCCGGTCAGCCACCTCTGCTTCATATACTTTGGTCAGTTCATTCCTGGGGTCCTGGGACACAATGCAGCAAGGCACAAATTATAAAAGAAAGGATCAAAAAGATAACTCTGGCAGTGTGTGGAGAATAGATGGGAGGTAAGCTTTCAGCTATTGCCACAATCAGGCTGCATCATGAACCACCCCAAAACTCACTGGCTTGAAACAATGATCATGTGTTCTCACAGGTCTGTAGTTGGGGTCTGCTCCATGTCTCTCATCCTTTCCTGAGATCAGTGGGTGAGTGAAGGCCTAGCAATGGCAGAGGCGTAAGAGGGCAAGTCCCAAGCTTAGAACTGGCCCCACTTCTGCTCTATTCCTTTGGCTAAAGCAAGTCAGTGGCCAAAGCCAAAGTTAAGGGCAGGAAAACCCATTCCCTCATGATGGACTGGTGCAGCTACAGGAAGGGCTGAAGAATTGAGGCTGGTTTTCAGTAATCACAGGAGGAAGTGGGGAGGTAGTGTGTCCTGCTAAGAGGCTTCAGCGGGTATCCAGGTGAGCAACAATAACGGCATGGACCAGAAAGCTAGGTAGCTGTGGAAGTGATAAGAAATACCTCTTCAGAGTAATGACTCTATAGCATCTTACTAGGCTGATGGACAGTGATTGAAATGGGGCTGAGGGTGGGGACTTGATAATATGGGTGAATGTTGAAACCACAATGTTGTTCATGCGAAACCTTTGTAAGATTGTATATCAATGATAGCTTCATTAAAAAAAAAGAAAAGAAATGCCTGTTGGATGAATGAATGCTCATACAAATTGCTGTGGTTTGAATGTTTATGTCTGCCCTAAATTTATCTGTTGACATCCTAACGCCCAATGTGATAAGAATAGAAGGTGGGACCTTTGGGAGGTGATTAGACCCTGATCTAAGGACTGCTCACCTACTTCAGGGCAGGTGTGAAACACCCAGAAGTCTGCTTCTCATCCCATCCACCACCCCATCTTCTCAGAACCGGAGACCTGACTGCTCAGACTGTCCCCTTTGACAGTCGGGGTCTGGATGGAGTTCTGGGCCTTCCTCTCCAGGGGGTTTTGAGGGTTCTCTCAGGCCTGTCACCTCTTCTACTGGTCATTTAGCCCAAATATGTACCTTCAGTCCAGATAACCAGGTGAGCAACAATAATGGCATGGACCAGAAAGACATTATTACCAATAGTCATTTTTCAGTTCATATCCAGAGAATGGGATTCGTGCTCTTCTAGAAGATCCTGCAGAGCTCCCTAGTCCTTTTTACCATGTGAGGACACAGTGAAAATGCTGTGCTCTGGAAGAGGGCTCACACCCAGCTAGGCTCCCACTCTGATCTGAGATTTCCAGCCTCCAGAACTGGGAGAAAGAACTTCCTGTCGTGTGTGGTGTTCTTTCGTAGCCTAAGAAGACTGAGGTGCACCTTGCCTGTTCCTTTCTCTCCTGAGAATTCGTGCTGAGGACATCATCGAAAATGGGAAGATGTTCACTGCAGCATTGCTTATAAAGCGAAGTGCTGAAACTATTTGAGTGCATATGAAACATAACCCCTTATCTCCAGGTCCTTATGGAGTGTAGCACAAAGAGACACTGGGCTTTGGCCTCTAATACACGTGAGTTCAAATCCCAGCTCTCCCACTGTTGAGATGTGTGACCCTGGGTACATCACTTCCCCTCTCTGAGCCCCAGGCATGAGGGAAGGCAAGGAAACGTCATGACCTTATAGAGCAGGACAGAGAGAGTAACTGGAGTCAGAAAGGATCTTCCCAGACAAGCAGGGCAAGCAGGAGAAGGAGGGATATGATTTGGAAACACAGAGGGAGAAGTTAGGTACCCTCAATGGAAGGGAGAGAGTATGGCATGTCTAGGGAAGAGGAGAAACTGTAGGCTTGGAGCTGAGATATTGGGAAGAACAGTGGAGGTGAGGTGGGGTGGGGTCAGGGATTTGGCCACAAAACACTCTGAATTCTGGAACTGGAGGCAGAGTCTGGGCAGGTCGTGTGAAGGAGTTGTTAGTGTGGCTCCACTTTGGGCTTGACCCTTGCTTAAAGGGCTGTGACCCAACAAGTGCCTGTCCTGAGAGAGTCCCTTCTGAACTATTGGACATTCTTTTATGTACAATATAGTCTATGGTGTTGCTAATGGACTTCCCTTCCTTTTGGCCTTAAGGAACCAATGGACATTGGGTGCTGGGCTAATGAACCCCTACTTGGCACTTGGTGACACTGTTCCATTCAGCCCTCATAGCAGCCGGTATGGTAGGGATTATGACTCCGTAAATGAGGCCTCTGAAGTTCAGAGAGATTAGTTGAGTCTTGTCTGAGCCACACTGCTCCCGCCTCTTCCAGCAGGGGTTCTTTGCATCTCTTGGAGCCCTTCCTGTGGAGTGAGTGTGTGTGTGTGCCTCGTACCTGTGTCTGTGAGGCCGTGTCTCTCTCTGTTCAGGCTTATTGGGGGCCCTGTGTGTCCCTGCATGTGTCTTTGTGTAGAAAGACCCTATGGGGTGTTCCTGTGGGTCTCTGTGTCTTTGTGTCCTCTCTAAGTCCCTGTGTGCATCTGGATCCCTGTGTGTGTCTCTGAATGTGTTTATCTCTGTGACTGTGTGTCTCCATGTACCCTTGTGTGTTCCTATGTCTGTCATATCTCTCTGTGTCCCCGTGTGTGTCTGCATGTGTTTAGTACCTTGCTGTGCATCCCTGTGTGTTCACCTGTCTGTGTTTCTCATGTCTGGGCTCCATGTGTCCATGCGTCCCTGTGTGTCCCTGTTAAGTGCTCCTGTGTGTCTTTGGACCCCTGTACTCTTGTGTACATATGCGCCCCCATGTCAGTCTCCATGTGTGTATATCTGTGTGTGCTGAATGTGTGATATCTTCTCCACCTTCCCCACATCTCATTCCCTTGACCATTCCATTCTCTCTTAGATGGTGACCCTGGCTTTTGTCCCCAGCATGAACCAGCCTGGTGACTGTGATCTGGCCAAGGCAGCTCAGCGCTCAGGCCTCCATCCCAAGCCCAGAGTGGAAATGCAGGACCTTGAAGGGGGAACTTGAAACCCAAGTCCCCATCATCCTGATGGCTGCAGTGAATCCATATGTGATTCTCTGGATACGAACTGAAAAATAACTATCGGTAATACTGTGTGTGGGGAGGGCTTCTCTCTGTGTGTGACTCCAGCCAGAATTTATTAAACTCTCTTTAAAAAATTTAATTTCCCTACCTGTTGGACTTGAGTGGCTCATCAATCACGGGGCGCCTTGCATCCTCAGTGCGGCCATGTGACATCCGGCCACGCCTGTCCCCTCAGAGCAGGCAGGGCCCCAGCATCCTGTACCCGCCCTCAGGCTGTGTCCCTGAAAACACCAAGCTTATCCTTCATTGGAACGTCAGCATCACTGCAGTCTCTCTGCGCCTCTATCGGGATGGAGCTGGATCTCTTTAGCTGACCTTCCAGATCCATACTCTAACCTTCCCCACCCTGGGAAGCCAGCCTTTTTTAAATGGCTCCCTTGATCCCTGATTTTCTCTTAGGTTCGGCCAATGGTGAGTTGCAGAAAACAAAGAGGTTGTGGTATTTAATCCCCTGGCTCCCTCTCTGAGGGGTCCCTCAACTGAAGGTTACAGCTCCCATCAAGATCCTCTCCATCCAGCCCCCTCTTTCTGTGGGTTCTGGTACCTGCTGCCTCCATTCAGCCTTTTAGGCCTAGAAATGCCAGCAGGTCGCCTCTCACCTTCCCTGGGTCCTGCGTCACCCCTTGTGTACTCTGCCCATACTTTCATAAGTAGTGCTTTTATTAAATTATCCTCAAACCATCAATTTGAGAATGCCATCTATTTCCTGGCAGGACTCTGACCGAGATACTCTTTTTCCCTAGACCATAATCAGACACTTTCCTTTCAAATTAAAAAAAAAAATTCAACCATATTTGTTTCTGGTGACAAATGTGTCCATTGGATAAAAAACAAAAACAAAATCAGAACTGTGGAGAACTGTCATTTACCAAGTACCTACCACGTTCCAGACAAGCAGGATGCCAGGTACATTCCATATTTCCCCCAAACAGCCTTATGAGGTACATATTATTACCCCTGTTATACAGATGGGGAACCTAAGTCTCAGAGGGGTGATGCTAACTGCCACATAAGCAAGGTAGTAGTGAAGACCAGATCTATGAGATTCCAGAATCCTTTCTAAGGCCCTGCCTCCTCCTCAGAAGCTCTTACTTATCTGAACATCACTCATGACTGTCCTGAGTAGCTTTCTAGCCCCCAAATCAATAAAAGAAAATCCATTTGCTACAGCCAGCTAGACCCTTGGAGTAGCCCTAAAGACGTGACCAGTCTCAGCCTTTGACATGGCCAGACCCAAGATGTTTGTGGTGGATGGCTTTGGCTCGCCTCTCTGCCCCAGCTGTGGGCTAGAGTTAGGAGCAGCCTTCCCTGTGATTTCTCCCCCTGGAATCTGTGCCCTAGATTTATACCCACAAGCACGGATGGAGGTGTCAGAATGGTGAGAGCCATATGGGTCCGCAGGGAAGGAGTGAGTTTCCTGCACTTGGCCAGATCCACCCCTCCACCTGCACATAGTGGCCCCTCCTAGGTGCCCTGACCCCTTCTCTCCAGTTTTTCTGATATGACCCATTCTTTAGGGCCCAAATCAGTCCCACCTCACACTGCAAGTCTGACTGGACATCTCCAGGCCGTAGAGACATGTTCTCACATGACACATCATTGGTGTTATGTGTCTTGGTACATAATTGTTCTCTAGTTGTTTATACCATTTTTGTCTTGTCTCCCAGCTGCCCTGAGAAGGGAACAAAGGCAGGGAACCAGTTCACTTTTATCTCACTGACTCATTTGCTTAGTCACTCATAGATTTATTCACCTATTTATTTACTCCTTGACTCATCCATTTATTCAATCACCTAAAACATTATTATCCTTAAAAATTTTCTGACATCCCTTTGGCCACTTACGGATAAGACCCAGGGAAATGACCCATCTTTTGAAAGTCTATGTCAGATGTTGTCCACAAGGCCCAGCTGACTCCCATGACCCTGACTTTGTGAATGGCCTTGACTTTGCTTTGTCCTCTCAGAGGCTCATGAGACTTTGGGTCACTTCCCATAAAGACATTTCTCAGGTGGAACTTAAGCTCCCCTTGTAAGGTGCAGAATAGGTCAAAAAGTGTCTGGAAGCTTGGTGAACCAGCAGACAATACAAAACTCCCTGCACCCTGCCCCATCTTGGCCAGTTACATTTTCAGCATCTGAGAGGTTATGCAACATGGTGGCTAAGAACCAAAGATTTGGTCTTCCACCTGGTGACCTTAGGCAAGTTGCCCAGTGTTCTGGGGTTCAGCTTTCCCATCTATAAAATGGGAATAACCACCATTCTTAACATCATTCACTTTTCAGGAAGACTTAATATAATAATGTATGGAAAACACTTTGCATGAGGACTAGAATGTAGTAACCAATTAGCTAGCTGAAATTTTTAAATTACTGTCACCCTCATTTTATAGAAGAGGAAAATGAAGTTTATAGATGTTAAGTGATGTATGTGAGACCTGCCCCTCCCCCGCCAACACACACCAATTAATTAGTGGCACAACTAGTACTT